AAGTGTAAAGATTGCTAGAAGCAGAAACAGCAGAAACAAAAATATATAAAATGTGGTCTCTATAAGGTTGTTCAGGATAATGTCGGTGGTTTCCACTAAAATACTGATATCATTACATGTATTAATGAGCTCTTACGTTTTTATGAATGTTTCTGGATGGTGTACAAAATTCTTTCATCTGTCTTAACCCTGATTAAAAACTTGGTGAGGAGGGTAATTTTTTTTCCCTAGCTCATTAAAAAGTTTAGTGAATTGCCCAAGATCACAAAGCTAATAAGTAATACACCTCAAGAAACAGCAGAAGCAAAAATATATAAAATGTGGTCTCTATAAGGTTGTTCAGCATAATGTCGGTGGTTTCCACTAAAATACTGATTTCATTACATGTATTAATGAGCTCTTACGTTTTTATGATGCTGTATGGTGTACAAAATTCTTTCATCTGTCTTAACCCTGATTAAAAACTTGGTGAGGAGGGTAATTTTTTTTCCCTAGCTCATTAAAAAGTTTAGTGAATTGCCCAAGATCACAAAGCTAATAAGTAATACACCTCAATCTTCCTGAGGCAGCAGTTCTAAGTGTGGTCTGTGGACTCCTGAGAAGGGGGTCACAGAAAACAAAACTATCCTAAATAATAAAAGCGTAATATGCAAATCAACCGAACAGCAGAACGACCATCCGATGACCATCGGGACCACGCTATGACACCCACTGATGCCAGGCCAGCCAACGCAGGTGCAGTGCAATTGTTCAGGGGCCTGGCCATCACCCCATGATTGCCCTGCAGAGGGAGGCCCAGGCCACCGGCGGACTGCAGTGGGTGGGCGGCAACTGGAGGGAAGCTGGGGTCCTGGGTGCCTGCAGGAAGCCGGTGTTGGCAGCCAGGGGAAAGAAGGCCTACTCTTGCATGAATTTCGTGCATTAGGCCTCTAGTTTTTATAATAATTTAGACATTATTTGCCTTCTTTATTTTGATATTTGCACTAATGGTGCAAAAGCAATAGTGGATGAAACTTCTGACTCCTTAGCACAAATCAAGGCAGTGACATCAAACTACTAATAGTGGTTTGCTTTACTGCAATCCACTTATAGTAAAAAGAAATAAATGCCAGTTTCACTTAAGAGTGTCCTTAATGACGCATTGAAAATAATTATTAGTTTTATAAATCTTGACCTTTGAATACTTGCTTTTAACCCTTTGCGGTCATATTAAATTTGGACATGGGTGTCGTACTGGTCGGAATTAATTTCCATTGAAAGAGTAGTGATACATACATGCAAGATTATGAAGGATAAACAAGATTTATTAATTCTTTTTTGGAACTACGTCACTACTAGTAGAATCACTACAAACATTATCACTGTCTACGTCAGAGTCAGTAGTCAAGGTGCCAAAATAAAACTCTTCATCATTACTTTCAGATTCGTAGTACACGTCTTTCGGTAACTTTCTTTTTGCCATTTTGGAGTATTATTTTGAAATATCTTAACAAGCGAGAATGCCTAATTACAGTTAAACGTAATTTGTAAAGCTTTATTTGAAATTCTGCGAAGTATCTCCGAAGCTTGTCGATTTCTTCACTCTCAAAAGGCGACTGACTTGCCACGGTGTTTTGCATGGCGAGTGTGGAACGACCACGTTTGTTTATATTGAGTTTCAATATCTCCGATTTGTCAGGGCAATGTTTTGGTTCGTGACAAGGTCGCTTAGACACTTAAGAGCTTTCAGAGAAATTATGAACTGATACATGAATGAATAGAGTTAAGATTCGTACGGTTCCTTGCTGTGGTGGCTGAGAGCAGACATACGACCGGAACGGTAAAAAAGCTTTGGTGGCTGAGAGCAGACAAACGACCGCAAAGGGTTAATTATTCTATATGATGAAATGGTAAGTATGTACAAAGTATGCTGGGTACTGAAAAAAACATTTGTACAATTAAGTTGCAAACTGGATTAGCAGCTTCATTATGTTACTTCACTTTTACTTGAAAGGACAGTTGATAAGCCATGCTATTTAGACTTGGATATTTGCAGACATTTTCTCAAAAATACAATCCTGTCACTTCAAACAACTGATAGTATTTGTTACAAATGATAAAATGATTTATTGCCAAGTGAAAATTACAAATTTGGAAAATTTATATCCACCACCATGAACTTGACAACATACCAGTACTTAAAGAATTTCTGATGAGATCAGTTATATTAACAAATGTGATTTTTCAAAAAATATTGTGCCCTAACCGGTTTGGCTCAGTTGGATAGAGCATCGGCCTGTGAACTGTAGGGTCCCAGGTTCGATTCCGGTCAAGGGCATGTACCTTGGTTGCGGGCACATTCCCAGTAGGGGGTGTGCAGGAGGCAGCTAATCACTGTTTCTAGCTCTCTATCGCTCCCCTTCCTCTCTGTAAAAAAAAATCAATAAAATACTAAAAAAAAAGAAAAAAATTGTGCGTAATGGAATGTTTTAACATTTTGGGAGATGTATATATACTCAGTGAACCAGT